TGCAGAATAAAAACAGTCAGTACACAAGTTCCAAAAAAATAAACTGCAAATCAAGTTTATTATTAAAGCTACTTTAAAACTGGATGTTATGTTTCACTGGCATCTTTTGATTTAAAGTAGGTACACATTTCCAGTTTCTTGCTAGAGACCTACCCGCATAGCAAACATGCGAGTACAGTCAGGGAAGGAACATCTGTATTTGAGCAGCTCAAGGTGCACCTTGCGAATATGGTGCTGCAGGTTAAAGGTTGTAGAAAAGTAAGCCTGGCAGTCATCTCTGGGACAGACCAGCACAGGCTTGTGGGAAGCATGCGTCCGCTTGTGCCTCCGCAAAGAATCCACTTTCTTAAACTCCTTCTTGCACACTTGGCATGTAAATGTGGCTGCAACACAAAAAAAACAATTAACTGGGCCATCCTTTAACCAACAAAGCACTTAGCAGGGAAACAAAAACTATGTACTATGGTCAAATTCACCTGGGTGTTTAATCATGTGTTTCTGAAGTTTCCCCCAGGTATGTTCAAATACCTGGCAATTAGTATGAGGGCAGCGGTAACCTGCAGAGACCAGACAAATGAGATCATCCACCATCTCCCTTCTGGGCCATGTTTATTTTGTCTTCAATGCATGAAAAGGTTACACACAAAATCATTCAACCCCATTTTAATGAAAAAAATGTACCGAGGTTAAAGACGACAAGTCCCCACCAAGATTAAACCAACCTGCATGCTTCTTCTCGTGAGCTTTGCGGGCAATATGGGAGTCAAATGTGGCAGCGCATCCATCCTTCGAACATCTAAGTATCCCAGGAGTAAAGACAGAAGTAAAAATTAATCACAGACACCAACCCCACATAGGCATTGGCAGCTCATTCTGCAGGTATAAACGCTGATTAAAGCAGTAAAAGTATCATCTTTAATACAGAAACTCATTTGACAGCTTCAGCAATTTTTTTAAGTCACACAGTAGTGTCAGTATATGTTAAAGCAGAGCAAAATCTGAACTATATTTTATATGAATCCAAGCTATTACATGGACTTACTTGAACTTGGCAACCATTTCATGTTCCTTCAGGTGCATCTTAAACAACCTGCGCTTTTTGAAGGTCAGAGAGCAGTTTGGGTGCTTGCACTACAGGACGGGAATGCACAAGTGATTAAAATGACAAGGCTTGAAAACCGGTTTATCTCAAAAGTAAACGAAGCTGGTGTAAATTGTGTAGTTTTGGTGCCATCTGGTGGATAAGTGTATATTCACACAAACCTTGAAGTACTTATTTTTGTCTCCATGGGCGAAGCGCACGTGTCTCTTCAATTTGCTTGCGTTAAAGAATGTCTTTGTACAGGTCACAAACTTGCATCTGCATGAATCAGAAACCAAAGTGAGACGACAGCTGAGAGAAGGAAAACCGTGTTTGAGTTACTTACTTGAATCGCTTCTCCCCGGTGTGCTCAAGCATGTGGCGCCGCAGGTGAGAACTTCTGGAGAAGCGACGACCGCAGCCGGCAACTGCGCACTGGCACGGGCGCTGCACGCATTTATCATAGTTGTAAAGTTACGGTTTCTTACTTTATTTTTCAGTTTAAAGGGTTTAGAAAGAAAGGCTTTGGCACTGCGTGATTGAATATTTTCCTTACCTCCCCGGTGTGCACAGTCTCATGCTCTTTGAGTTTCCACTGCCTGGTGAAAGTTGCGCCACACTCGCCATGAGAACAGCTGAACAACTCCAGCGGTTGACCGCCGACAGGTTTCCCAGCTCGCATGTCATTCATTTTCTTCTGATATCTGAAAGCTACTCTAACTACAGAACGTTATGAAAACCGAGCGGCTGTTCCCTGCCAGTCTTATACTCTCTGGAAAGCTTTTAATTAGTTAACTGGCAGCGTCCTGACACCAGGCGATGAGTCACGCTTTACTATACTCTAAGAGAGAACCTGAAACCAATTAACTGCTAATTACCTCATTTTCCGCCACTTGGCCCAGCTGTAGTCACACAAACCTGGACAAACCAGCACATCAATCAGCTCGTCACGTTGCTGTCCATGAGTGTTGCTATACTTTTTTTTCCCCCTGAAGTGATACAATGACGGCTGAAGAAGACACATCAGAGATTAAAAACAGCAAACTGTGATGTTAAATTCTAATAAGGAGGCTATATTGTAAACATGTCTTCATGAAATTGGCTCATACTTAACAATAAGGACTCTTTCAACAACACCCCTTACTAAGACTCCACCCTGAAGCTCTTCTTGACTATGTAATCAGAGTTATACCTGTGGCAAGAGGTACCATGGGAAATATACACTCACTGCCCACTTTATTAAGCACATCTTGCTACCAGCAAGTTGGATCTTGTTTGTTTTTGTTTTTTGTTTGTTTTTTTGCCTTTAGAGCATTCTTAATTCACCATGAGACAAATTCAACATGGTGCAGAAAAAAACTACCCAGAGATTTTGGTCCAAATTTATATGATAGCTTAACACAGTGGCTGGAAACTTGTCGGCTGCACACCCATGACACAGACCTCCAGTTCCACCACATCCCAAAGATTTTCTATTAGACTGAGATACAGTCACTGTGAAGGCCACTTGAGCACAGTGAACTCGTTGGTATGTTCAAGAAACCAGGTGAAGGTGATTTAAGCTTTGTGGCATGGCACATTATTCTGCTGGAATCAACTATCAGAAATGTACATGAGTAAAAAGATGGACATGCTCAGCAATAATATTCAGGTAGGCTGTGGCATTTAAATGATATTCAGTTAGTATTAAAGAGCCAAGAAAATATCCCCCACGTCATTACACCACTAGCCTGAGGAAAGAACAGAGAATGAACAGAGGATTTTGAGTTGTTTACACATTTTGAATTTTAACAGTTGGATATTTAAGTTACTGTTGCCTTCATATCAGCTTGACACAGTCTGACCATTGTCTTCTGACATCTGGCATCAATGAGGCATTTTCACACAAAGAACTGCTTCTCATTGGATATTTTCTTTTTTTTTTCTCCATTCTTTATAAACCCAGAAATGCCTGTGTGGGCAAATCTCAGCAGATCAGAAGTTTGCACCGGCCCATGTAGCACCAACAATCATGCCAAGTTGCCAAAATGCATTGGGTTGCTGCCATATGGTTGGATAATTTGCATTAATAAGTAGATGTGTGCTTAAAAAGTGGCCAGTGAGTGTATTTCTACTACGCTTCAGTACACCTGAAATGGGAATAGCTTTCCCATTTCTTCTTATTCCAGCTGAATGGACTCAGTTACAGAGAATTCAGCAATTAAAGCTCTGACTGTGATACAGCACAGTCCACACCAGAGGGTAGTGTGTCTCTATCACAGTTGGCTCTGCCATTCAGATTCATGCACAAACTGTAAAGGTATTTGGGTATTCCCATTTATTTACTTGTGTATGTCCTGCATTCTGAAACAAATGCCTTCTGTTTCTCAACATGTCCGTTGGATTTTTAATGAGAATCATTGTAGAAGCTGGTTGAGACTTTTTCCCTGTTTTAGCAGAAGGTGTTAGACAGCTTAACAAGACTTCAAACATTTATATGCTACAGAAGGAATCCCCCTTTATATAACACGTATGGGAGGTGTATAGTGGTGGATGCTGATTTACTGTGATCCCACCTGTGCTTTTATTACTGTGACATATCAACATCGACTGTCTATAGTACAAGTTTTGATTCAGGACTAGCTGCTTGGGAAGAGTTGTCTCTGCCGAGCTCTGATATAAGAGGGTTCAAGATTGTGATTATTATACATTAGTTACATTTAAGTGTAACCTGAAATCTTTAAAAAAATGGAATTCCTCATATCCTTTATATTCACCCTAAAACCAGTGTGACCACTGCATCCCTGCTCACAGAGCCACCTTTGCACTACTTGCCACTCAGCTGTCTTACTGCAGAATACTGCATCAGCACTATGTGACCACTTACCAGATCACAGTGAAGACTTTAGTGTTTGAATCAGAAAGCCAGCAGCAAAGTGCAGACTAAAGTCAGTGTCTGTTTAAAGTTTTAGAACTGCAATATTCTGGCAGCCATCATTTTTTATTTTATTTTATTTTATGATATTTTATTTTATTTTGGCAGGGCAGGAGCATCTTTAGCTTATGCTGCATTCCTCCTGATACTTCCACCTCCATCTCTTCCTCCTATTTCTCCTTCTCTGCTTGTCTCAAAGGGAGGTAAATGAAATATTCAGAGGGGGTGCCGGTGCAGTTTTTCTCCATTAGTTTGATGTATTATAGGATGGCTGCTGAGATTGGGCTGCACCAGGGAAGCTAAACCCAGCAGGTGAGAGACAGCAGAGAGACTGCAGGTTTCAGCGTCCATCTCCATTAGTGGCTTCTGATTAGGAGTCATAAGCAGTTAAACTCATACATCCCTTTGAACACAGCATGTTTTACTGATCACTGGGGCCAACAAAAGCTTTAGAGTTACTTTAGTCAACATGATCATGTAATGTTCTTGTAGGGACATTCACAGTGGTCAGTTGGAGTTTTTCATTTCACTGACAGCAGTGTGTTTGGGCAGTATGCTCTGTGTGATGCTTGATTCAAATAAAAAGACTTAATCAGTCCCTGATATTACACTTTAGTAGCAGTCGTGCATATTCACTTAGCCGCTCTGCTGTGGTTAAGTAAGTACTCAGTGGACCACATGTAACATTCATTTTTTTCCAGCATTAATATTACGTTTTCGTCTTGTGCTACATATTTCCAGACCTATAAGCTGAATGTAACACTGGCTCTTAAAGTGAAAACCAGCTTCTCATTACAAAAACAGTCATTTTTCTAAATGTTAAAACAGCAGGATGCATTCAAACAGGTTAAACATTTGGAGATCCCTGTGATTAAGTTTATTTTTATGGCATTTGGTATAACTTGCAGTGCTGAAATGAATAAAAATGAATCGTAAGAATATCTTGAACAGTTTGAGCTGTTTAAGGCAGAAACAAGGTGTGAACAGTATGGCCTCTGCTGTAGCCGGTTTGTCAGAGGGTGTCTTGGGTTCATAATGTCTCTCCTCGGTCGGGACCACTTTCATCCCCTATAGAGCTGTGATCTTCATGTCAACGCTTTCCCGGATACTCCTGATTAACTCCTTCATGTTCAGAAAATGAATGAACTGCCCATCCCTGATCCCCTTTCGAGCTTTTCTCCGGCTGGCGGGCTGTCGCATCCTCTTCTTGCGCAGAGCTGCATGGCAACGGGAGGAGGAGGCAGCTCGGGATGAAGGAGGGTACCAGCGTCCCACGTGTCCTCCTCACCGCAGACCCAACGCATTGCTCTTCGGTTTCCCATCCCTTCGTTTCCGCATACTGCAGATTCGCATATACACACACATACAACCTCATCCATACACCCATACGCACCCGCGCAGGCTTGCGGAGCTATGATTCCGCGGTGCGCACTCTCCCGTTCCACACTATTTCTAAACTGATCACTCTCTAGGCCTGTATCCATCATCTCCGACAAAGGCCTGTCACTTCTTTTTTTCATCATTCTGATATGCAAATCTAAATTCTCTGTAGCAGTGTTGACCGGAGCTGAGAGGGCGAGTGATAGAGAGGGGGAGAGATGAGAGGAGGCACATCGTCAGATGTTTAGTAGATTGATTTTGGATCCTCGCCATCATTTGTGTGATTTTTTTAGTCTTTTCTTCACTCCGTCTGCCGGGTTCGTGACATCCTGCGGCTCTCCATGCTGTAATCCGGGGGAATATGTGAAGATCATGCTGGCGGTGTGGTGCTTCACGGTCTTTGCTGCAGTGGGCGAGAGGCTTGCAGTCTCAGGTAAGAGAGAGAGAAGCGAGCGAGGGGGTTTGGATCGAGAGAGGGAGAACCCCTTTCGTTTCCTTTGCATCCACTCTATTTTTCACCGTGAACAGCACTTTTCGAACCCTGGTGTAGGCTCGTAATTTTACTGTTGCGGGATCTCGGTGCCAAACAGCCCACTGGCCTGAAAGCACAATTTGCTGCATCAACACATTCCCACTGCAGCCTCATTACCTATAACGTATCCATAACCATTTCAGACGAGCATTTAGGAAGAAACATCTACAGCACTAGAATATAACTACATTTTATTGCCCTGGGATGACGATTTGTGAGCCTTTCATTTGTATACTCACAATATGCAGGCTTATATGAGCATCCCTATTGTAGATAATTTAAGTAATGACAAGTATTCTAATTATTTTCCATCAGAGCGTGCACATCTAGCTATATCCACTATTTTTATAAAATACTATTACGGATAAATAATGTTCACTGTTAAATTAGGTCACCAAACCGTGAGCTTACAGATGAAGACGCTCACAGGCTGATTTGTTTTAAATGTGCATTACTTTGTGCTTTTTTTTTTATCCTTAAAGAAATCCCCGCTGCTCTGTTTGGGCAGGTTCACTTGTGTTGCTAACTTGCAGTGCCTAGTGGAAACACACTGTGAGAGTTTTCCTCTTGTATTACATACAGGTGTTGACAGGAACCTGGAGCAGGATGGAAGCATGTGGGACTGGTTTGCCCCAGTGGGCCGGGCGGATAGTGGGGACACTGCAACCGAGATCATTTATCCAAAGCGCCTCGTACAGCAAATCAAGTCAGAAGAAGAAATGGCTCATGACTACTTGGGTACCAGGGTGAAGAATAGCACCGGGGACACCTTGGTGAGCTTACATCCTTAATTCTGTTTATTCCCATGCTGTAAAGGATCCCAGACCGGGTTTTAGGACCCTTCCTAAATAAAAGAACCTGATACATTTCACTCTAAATTGAACAAAAAGAAACTATTCCACGTGAGTAATGCATAAATACATGTTTCAATGAGAACTTAAAAACATTTGCCCTGCACTAAAATCAATCATTTCCTGCATTTATCGAGGCATAAATGCAGGAAATCCTTGACCATTTCGACTGCAGATAACTGCATGCGTGTACAAGGGTGTGACAGCACCAGGACAGACTTTTATTTTGTTGGTGTCAACCTCCTTTTCCTCCCTGTCAGTAAAACAGTGCAGTGCTCAGCTCCCCACTGCTCATGCGGCTCCTGCTACACAGAGATAACAGCGCAGGGCGGTGTATTGCAGCAGCCTTTACTCCTTGCGATTTTGACCCATTTAGTCAGTGAAAATCCCTTTGAATGTGAAGTGAAGCAGCGTCCGGTGGGTGTTACCAAGAAGAGTTGTTGCTTGAAGCTATTTTTCCCTTCCCTAAATTTAAGCTGTAACCTCTAGCAACAAGTTATGAAACAACACTTGGCTTTCTTAATACGCACTGCTCAAATGCTGGTTAATCAAAGAGCTGTTTAAATGCCGCGTGATATATGAAGCGACCACCATCTCCACAGGACAAAGCTAGACTCTCCTGAAATAGTCGCATCATCTGATAACTCGGATGCCATGCTGAGTCTCTGACTTCTTTATTATTCAGTAGTGTGTTGAAGTATGTCCCATTAATTATAGAACAGGCCTGTGTAAGAAGTGCTGGATGGTGCAAGAGGTTTGAGCACTCTCCCCCATCCACTGTCTCTCCCATTCTTTCTCTCTCTCTCTCTGACAGTATATTAGGCTCAGTACACACACCAGAGTCACATGCTTCAAGATTTGAGTGAATACATATGCTATAATCTTGGGAAGAGATGGTGTCTTAAATAAGCATAACTATAATATGTTCATAAAATGGTTTTCCGTAGACAAGATTTCAAAAGTCTCAGCTGCCTCACTTGCTGTGTTTTGTTTTTTAAATATTTAAGATGCTCAGAATAAGAGACCAGATAAATTTAGAAGCAGCAGGGAGGGATGAGCTGAACTTGTTCTTTTTTTTCTGTCACATCACACTGTGTTCAAAAATAGATGAAGCAACATTTTGGCTGATTTGATTTATTTGGTTTTGCACATTGCGTTCATTTCGGCATAGCTTAAACTCTACAGATTATTAGATGAATATAGATTAGCATCTAGAATCAGATGTTCTCAAGGAAAAAGATAAAGGTATCATAAAGGTATAAAGTTATGGAGCAAGGCAGTTTGTGTGAGAGCAATGCTAGCATAAATCTTACAATGTGTTGTTTGAAGTGTTATTTTATGCAAAAATGTATATTGAACTTTAAGCAATTTACATTTCAGTATCCACAATGGCTTTAAAAGATCTGTAGCAGGTGGGGGCTGTTGGAGACGAAAATAATGATGTGACACAATTGAAGAGGAGTTTCTAAAAAGGACCTTTTAGTGTGATTGTTTCGGCTTTGAAACCAGCAACAATGAGAAAGCGACTGAGTGACAGATTCAGACAAATATGAACTTTTTTGATATTAAGTCTTTGTGATACCATCAGCAGCATCAGAGCAGCTACTTTGTCTTAAAAATAATGTCTTTCAGCCACGTCAAGAACAGTTAAATAGAAACAATCTAAAGCAGTAGAGCAGTGTTACTGTACAGGGACAGAGGTACCAAGCTGCAGCCTCTCCAAGACAATAGTAAGAAATCTGTTGTCTGTACTCAATGGAGGGAATAATTTCTGCATAGTGATGCGTTTTATTGTAAAAGCCCAGTGATTCACTGCAGCCGGTTCCTCCAGACTGAGTTCAAAGCCACGCTGGCACAGTCGAAGCTGCTGAAGAGACATACTGTTTGGTCCGCAGTAAATTTCACTCTCTCCTGCCCCTGCGGTGTCCTTACGTCCTCAAGCCTGGCAGTTGTCCATCCGGGGACACAGCATGGCTGAATACATAGGAGTAACTTAACTGTAGCTTTCTTCTCTTCCTATCCTCCTATGAAGACCTCCTCTATTTATCCTTATCATGACACTCCAGCTTAGCTCCTAAACAGCCATAGCTCTGTGGAGTCAAGCTTGCCTGAAAGCTGGCAGCCAGTGCTGATCAATGCAGACTTTATAAATCATAATATCTCAGCTGCTGAGATGCTTTTAGACCTTACACTGTATTGATTCTGCTGAATTATTCATGAGACTTTTTCACAACCCTTCTGTGGCTTTCACAGAGTGACACATCTAACCACAATTGTTTTGTTCCACTTTAATTTATCAGCTGTCAAATCCATCTCTCTAGCGTGTTTTTCTTTTTTTCTTCTTTCAGCCTGTCCATTTGGCCCAGAGCTGTTTCCAAGTAGAAGCCTTTGGACGCACCTTCACTTTAGACCTGGAATTAAATCAGTTAGTATTACCCTGTAAATTCATCAGATCTGCTTTTTTTTTTTTTTTTTTTTTTTGCACATTTTGTATCAGTGGGTGCTCTTAATTTACTGCAGCTGTTCTAATTAGCATTTCCCCACACTTAAGCAAATGCACTTAGCGCCTCTATTATGTTTCATGTCAAGATGGGGAACACCAAATATATTTGTGGGGAGAACAGACAGCAGAAAAAAATCCCAGTTTATTATTATTATTTCTGACTAGAAAGGATGCTGGTGCAAGTATTAATAATATCTTATCTCTCTTTGCAGCCATCTTCTGTCTTCAGATTATGTAGAACGGCACTTTAACCAGGATGGCAGTCCCTTTCAGTCTGTGGTAAGGTTTTCTGCATAAGGTGGGATGCTCACATGATTTCAGTGCATGAACGTGATTCAAAGCAGCATTATCAGCATATTAAAGAGAGTGACCAGAGCAGCAGTGCAACACTCACTTAAAGTTTTGCTTCCTCCTGACAATCCTGAACTGATATAGATCAGATTATATAACAAAATCCTTCGGCTCAAACTGTATTTATTTTTATTATTCTTATTTTAGAAGTAAAACACACTTTTTAAGCCATCTTTTTTAAAATTATTGTGCTGATGTTTTCTACTATTTGATCACAACCTCGTGCTTTTATCTATTTATGGAAAGTGCATTTCGTCCTCCCTGCTTTAGAAGTAAGCTCGTGAACATTACCGGTCTGCACATATGTGGGTTTGCCTATCAGTACGTATGCATGCCTCTCTGCTTTTCTCAGACTGCTGAGAAAGAAAGGAAGTGATCGCCCGTGGTGTAAAATCACAAGCCCACGGAGAGAATCGTCGAGCGAACGTGGAAACGGGATAAAACCTTGACATCTAACGATGAGCTGTGTGCTTGTCAGGAGGGACCAGTGGAATGTGACTGCATTGTGCAAGCCAGGAGGGATGGCTAATGTTTGTTTTTTTTCTTCGCTTTTTCGTGGACAAATGTGCCACTCACTGCCCCCAGCACCCACCCACCCACTCAGCCAGCTCTCACATCCCCACCCACAATCATTTCGAACTCTCCTTCGGTCCTCCTGACCAATCACAAGCCTGTTTCCATAGCAACCAGTTAGCTCAGCAGTGTCATTAAGTTCTTGGCAGCGAAGAGAATGAAAGAAGACCGAAAGGGAGGGAAGAGCAGATCTGGAATGAGAGGAGGAGGAGGGGGATATATGGAGTAAAATGCCAGTTAATACAAAAGCAAGATGAGCTTTGGGATTGGGGAGGAGTAATTCTGGGGGTGTATGTGTGTTCACAGGCAGTCAGATTGTGCCTGGAGTGGTGAAAAGAGAGAAGGGGCGTGCAGGGTTGAGGCTGGAGACCTGTGGTTAGACCAGATTGTCCCTCAGCTGGATGGAGGCTTCATGTGATGATGCCGCTTCTTCTGGACATAGCAGGCGTGATGCATTCAGGGCAGCACTTAACCAGAGTGATCCCTGTGATTAAAACACTTTCAAGTTCAAAGGCATTGTTTCCCTGAGCTGCTGTTGTGAGGTCAAAGCGCCCTGCTGAAATCAATTTAATCCAGGTGAATCAATGGTTCTCACATTTCCCGCTGGTTCTCTTCACCGCTTTAACCTTGCAAAGCAGCGTCAGTGCTACATGACAAGAGCAGATTCCTCTTTGGGTTTTTTTGCGTTTAGTTGCAGCCTGTTTGCTGTACAGTTACTCCACATTAAATTTTAAGAAATAACTGTGTGGGCAACGTTAGTGTTGATTTATTGAAGAGATCCTTGAGCATGGTGTACTTCCAGCTCTATTGTCAGTAGAGTAAAGGAGTGGAGAACACGATACAAGTAGGTCATAAACTGTGCCACTAACATCTTAAAACAGGAAAGCACGGAGAGGTTTTTCCTCACTTCTCACCTATTGTGATATCAAATGATCTATGAAATTGTCCCCATAAAGCTGAGAGTGTGTCAGCAGAGGTTATTGTACTAAGCAGTGGTTCTTTGTCCTCACAGGGAGGGGAACACTGCTACTATCAGGGAAGGTTAAGAGGTTTACCAGAGTCCTGGGCAGCTGTCTCCACATGCCATGGCTTGTGGTGAGTTTGACAGTAGACCTTGTCTGTAACTTCAAATACTAACTCCCTGTGTGTTACAAATTAGCCTCCCAAACTCACCCTTTATTCTTCATCTTGTTGGTGGTTCTCAGTGGCATGTTCTCTGATGGCTTCTTCTCTTACGGTATTGAGCCCTTTCACAATGACAGCAATCAGGTAAATGACCTGTGACTATAATACAGATTTTTATAGTTAAACATTTTTGTTTTAGGTCCTAATCTTAATATTTTCACTTTAGTATGATGGTGCTCACCTAATACGCAGGATGCCTGATATCAGACTTCCGGCCCATTGTCCAGGTATAAAGCCACACTTATCTTACATTCATGACACATTTGACTTCGTTTAGGAAAGAACCTATGCCAAGCGCAATTTTTCAAAAGTCTGAAAATAAATGTCACTTTTTGATTCACAGAAGCTGCTCAAAAGCAGCCATTTTCAAAAATACAAAATCATTTCATAAAAATAGATCAAATCAAATTCATAAGAAATGGATAAATAAGCTGGGTATAATTAAATAATAAGAATCATTTTAAATATATTACATTCACAGTGTTCAAAGGGGAACCTGTTTTGTTCCTTTCCAACCTTGTTGTTATGTTAAATTGCAGAGAGTAGCTTTGTATCATTCAAAGTTTGTGAAATAAGCATTTTTAGCTCCCTTCCTCCAGCCTTGAAGTCAACCTTCTTCTGATTGGCTGCCATTCCTGAACAGTAGTTGGGTCATAGCCAGAACGTCCTGGTTGGGATGACCACATTTGGCATATTTGCTCTCAGTGACATCACACAGAGCCAAGTGTAGAGAAAACATCTAAAACTGAGCATTTAGAGTAGTCAGACACAGAGCTTTTGGTTCATAGGAACTCTCTGTATATTATTTGAAAAATTTGCAATGTTTAACATTATTATCTGCTCTTGTAACAGTACGTATGTTTCAGAAAATGAGTAAAATTATAACAGGTCACCTTAAAGATTAGATTTTTCATTGTTTAAAGCCAACTTGAGCTAATAATTTTCTGTCCTCTATCTTCCTTAAAAAGTAATATTTCCCTAACTGCCTGCAGCTCTGCTTTTTTATGTGTCCAGACTGTACAGAGGACAGTGAGTGGGATGGCAGAGGAGGTGATGGTGATGATGATGACAGACCGGACCAAGTGAGGGAGCAGCAGGCGTCTGGGGGTCTGCGACGGTCCAAGCGAAGTGTTCGCAAGCCCTCTGTGCAGACTGAGACCAAATATATTGAGCTGATGGTGGTCAATGACAATGATATGGTGAGTGCTAAAGGTTCTTGGTAGCCTGATGACTGTAGTGTGTACTGCTTAACCACATACCCCATGGTTTGTCCAGTACTTCTCCTTATTTATTGTCTAAAATTTCAGTGCCACAATCAATAAGGACATAAAATCTCCCCAAAATTACAAATGTACTTGTACAGAGAGGAGCAGTACCTAAATGTCACCAGGATTTGCATGGCTAACAGTAAACAAGAATAGCTGCAAATGCTTGTCTGATAGCAGTTTGTGAGTAAAAAATAGCAAGTTAAAAGATAAATCAAATACAGAGCCCAGCAACAAGTAGAAATATACATTTTATCATCATAATATCAGCATTTAAATTAATACCTTTTTTTAGTGGCCAGCTCAACAAAGAAGGATGACACACTGCCACTTGCAGAGCAGTGACCAGGTGTTCTGCAGTATGGCTAATCCCACTCAGCTCCACTCAGGAAACCTTGCTACGCAAACAGAACCCACATAGAGCAACCCCTCAAGAGGGCCTGGGGCTGTCACATATTGCTAGTTGTACACAAACATATGAGCTTTTATTTTTATATAGCAACAAAGCTGCCAGAGGCCATGCAGTCCAGTTTCATTAGCTCCAAGCTTACACTGACATCAGAATATGTTAGGACTGGACAGTGTACAGGTGTTAATATGCTAGTTGAACGTTTCTTAAAGGAATACAGACAAAGCAATGGATATGCAATAAGAAAAAAGCTGTGACATCTATTGACAGGTAAGGAAGGATAAGAGTCATAAATGAGGGTCATTGATTCAAATTGTATAAAACAGCCTAGAATAGCTAAACTAGAATCTATGGAAGAAACAATAAAAAAAAAAGCTTATAAAGGTATTTTAAGTGTTGGCAGGTTGTTGTTTTTTGGGCGAGTTTCTTGATTACCAGAATTACATGGTCTATACAAGCACTATTTAAGTTCACTTAGATGCTTCAAAATATCTGCAGATGCAAGTGTCCAGAGATGTTACCAATATAGTTGCAATCTTGCTTCAAGAAGGATTTTGGCCTAATGCCCCACCACCTACTTATATAAAGTATAGACCTTTGTGGTGTCACTTTTGGGTGTGGTTACCAGTGCATTTGATCATACTCAACTGAAAGTTTCTACAAGAGGGCACAACAGAATGCTAATTTTAACGGTGATGCCAAATTATTATCTTATGGTGCAGATAAATTGGCATCTACTATACAAAAATGCTTTTAGTTAAAAGGTGGACTTATCCAGACCAAGAAAACAACAAAACAAAAGGGAAGCTTTATTAAAGCTGATAATGTACAAAGGCAGCAAAAAGGCAAATACATCTAAATGGTAAAACTATAAACATGAAGAGGCAGACAGACTATAAACCTAGAAAACCCACTGCTGAAGTAAAACAGGGAACAAACTGAAAGGCATAGACAAACTACTAGGTACAGAGTTGATGCAAACTTACACTGAACAGAATGCAGAAAGAACATTGGGGGAACACACAAGTAACACACTGATGAAACTACAAGTCAAATACAACAGATTTCATCGTTAAGCAAAAAGCAATATTTGCATTTCATTTAATTAACCGAAACTTTGCCACTTCAGTTGACATTGGTCATGCAAGAAGTACATTGAAACATTCCATGTAACTCATTCCTTATATCACTTGGTCAGTACAAGTAAATCAAATTACATGTCTGATTGTGTATTTGTGTGTAGCAGAGCTGATGTGATCCATCTCTTAAGCCATCTGCGCGTCTTTTCCTCTACAGTTTGTACAGCTGCGTCGCTCAAGCAGCCAAACCAAGAACTTTGCCAAAGCTGTGGTCAACACGGCGGATACGGTAAGTGATCGGTTTGCAGGAAATTAATCCTCCTACTGCTAAACTCTGCCTTCTCACTTCGCCACCTGTCAATAAACACGTGTGTGTGTGGGAATGATCTGTCCCAGATGACACTTACAAAAAATCACACCAAAACACCAAATGAAGCAGTGCACTGATGGGCATTTTGTGGTCCTCAGATCTATCAGGAACAGCTCAACACAAGGATTGTACTGGTCGCCATGGAGACCTGGACCTCTAAAAATATGATGCCAGTAGTGGAAGACCCATTGATAACGCTGCAAAACTTCATGAAGTACAGGAAGGACAACATCAGAGAGCAGAGTGATGTAGTCCATCTTTTCTCGTAAGACCGTCAAAATAAATAAATAAAATTTTAATGAGAACTAAAGCTTATGTGATGTCTGGACTTGCAACTTTGGCTTTCCTGTGCTCACAGAGGGCGTAACTTTCATAGTAGCCGTAGTGGGACAGCCTACACAGGAGGGGTGTGCTCTCCAACAAGAGGAGGAGGAATTAACGAGGTAAGGAAAATATAACATGATTATAATTTTCTATTACACAGATAGGGTTTATTACAAATTTTAACCTAAAATGAGTAATCCATCCATCCATCAGTTTTCTTAATAGCTTATCCATTTGATGGCCACTAAAGGTTATCTCAGCTATCATAGCGCGAGAGGTGTGGTGCTAACTACTGTATTACTGTGAATCTCTAATTGGACTTCTAATATAAATTGAAATTTAGTTGTAAAGCCAAATTTTAAGTTTTTATGTATTTTTGTTATAATATTAAAATCAAATCATCAATAAGTAGGACTAAGTTCTCTGATTTAAAACATAGCTGAAAATAATTTATATGAAGCATATATTTTCAAGTAGGTACAGCAAAAAAAGTTGCAAGACTGAACCTGCTCAGTGACTGGGGCTATTCTTTGTGCAGTTTTCATGCTCTACTCATGCTTATGTGGGATTCCTGTGGGTGCCCAGGTTTCCTCCCTCAGTCTAAAGATATCTGTGTTTGATTATCAGGCGATTCTAAATTGATTGTGTGGAGGTGAAAGTTGGCTGTGTCTCTGTGTTGGACTGGCAGCCTGTCCAGGCAGAGGGACCAGGTGTCCCAGCACAGCAGTTTTATCCTGTTTGTAAGTCGTAGAATCAGCACTGAGGCAGAGACGAGCTACTGCATCAGTTAGATGAGTGTAAGTATTCTAGGGTCTGTTGACAAGTGAAGGACTAGTGGAACAGGAGACTGTTGCAGTAGAGAGAGGACAGAGGGAAAGTGAAGCTGTCAGTTTACTGGTCACTATAAGTTCCTACCCTCATATATAGCTAACAAGCTTTGGGTTGTGACCAAAAGAAATAGATCACAGACATAAGCAGCAGAACTGCAAGTATCTGTGTTCTCTTTTAGAGATAGCACGAGGACCTCAGCCATTTGGGAGGGACTCAGAGCAGAGGCACTATTCCTCCAAATTCAAAGAGCCAGTTGAGGTGGTTTGGGCATCTGGATAGGATGCTTGTTCAGTGCTTCCTAAGTGACGTGTTTTGTGCAAAAGCGTGTAACTATTGCAGTTTGTACTTTGCATTAAATGCAGGAGTTGTACACGGGGCCACAGGCAACAATGATTTCCTTTGTCATTTTGTGGTGGATAATCTCAGTCTCTCACGAACATACTCCTGTGATTAGCCAGCACGTCATAGAGTGGGTGGGAGGTATTGTCCAGCATTGTCCTTGTCTTGGACAACATCCGCCTCTTCGGCAACACCTTAAGGGAGTCCAGCTCCATTCCCACAACATTAGTGGCCTTACCAATCAGTTGTTTTGAGTCTGTTGGCATCTGCCACTGCTGAGATTCCTGCCTCCACAACACAGATGTAAATGACAGGGGGAGGATGGATGGATGGATGGATGGATGGATGGATGGATGGATGGATGGATGGATGGATGGATGGATGGATGGATGGATGGATGGATGGATGGA